AACCCTTTTGTATGAGGAACTACTTTCTTCCGGATTCAAATCATAAAATGACAGTTAAACAGTTGAGCGTGCATCTTTTAAACATTAGATCTGTAGTGTCTGCTTTTTGCTGGCTGCATGTGGGTGGAGTAATACACAAAGGGTAAAGAGGCTGTAGGAGTTCTGATATTGCAGAATATTGATTTGAGAACCAGACAGAACTGTTGTATAAGCTAATTTATGGGCTTTCAATATACAGTTCAGAATATCTGCGAAAAAGGCATTGCTAATGCATGAGTTTTTGTTGCAGTTACAGTTTTGACCAGCAGATGTCCCTAGCACTGAGTTTGACATGAGAAATCTCTTGTCATCAAATCCTGTCCTACCAGTGTCGTGTTGCGGTCTTTACTCTGGGTTCTGTCTCTTTTTTTCCCGATGTTTGTAACCGCATCCTCAGATAACCATTGAAACAGCTGTAAAATAGGTTGGTGTTGTGCCAATCTTTGCACATTCATTCATTCATTCATTTTCTTTTCGGCTTTGTCTCTTTATTAATCTGGGGTCACCACAACGAACCAGCATATGTTTTACGCAGCGGATGCCCTTCCAGCTGCAACCCATGACTGGGAAACAACCATACACTCTCAATCACACCCATAAACCACGGACAATTTAGCTTACCCAATTCACCTGTACCACATGTCCATTGACTTGTGGGGGAAACCGGAGCACCCAAGGGAATCCCAAGCGAATACAGGGAGAACATACAAACTCCACACAGAATTGCCAACTAACCCAGCCGAGGCTTGAACCAGCTACCTTCTTGCTGTGAGGCGACAGCACTCTAAAGCAGGTCGCACACCAGAAGCGACGCTCGGCGGCGCGCCGCGCAGCGCCATGTATTTTAGAATTCTAATCATAGGTTTCTATCAGGATACCCAGATAGCAGGCAGTAATCGGCCCGAGCTCGGCTGCCCTCCGGCCCCTCCGGCTCCGACTCGGCATCGGCGAGTGTTATCCGGGCCGAGTGCGGCCCGCACCTCGCTCGCGCACATGCGGCTGTGATGCGGCTGTAAAGCACTGGCCCGATTCCGGTCAACCATATCCGGTCCGAGTCTGTCTGTAGAGTCCTGGCCGCTTCTGGCAAGGACTCGGCTGAAGGCAACCGATTAAGTTCTTATTTTATCTAGTAATCTGTTAGCTCCACGTTTAATGATAATTTGAGAAAATATTCATGGTACGATAGCAAAAAAAAAAAAAAGAATATTTAGTGTGGATGGTCTCAATGTTTAGACGCAAACAAAACAATATTATTTATAAATAGATTATACATGTCATCCAGAGAAAAACTATGTAAAATTCGCTTATTTTTGAGATAGCACGCTCCTGTGCTGACTGTTTTTTTTTTAAAGCAGAAGTTGGTTTCATAATAAACACATGCGTAACTCCTGATCCAAACTCCAATCCAGACGGTGGCGGTAATGCTCCAACAAGCTGGTTGTCAACCACCATGGCACGAAGATCACAAGAAGAAAAAGTTTGATTTTTCAAAGATTCCATGTGGATTCCGGTCAGAAAGGTAAGCTTTTTACTGCTTGTGTACTGTATAATTAGCGAATTTAGAGCTTAAAACATTTCCACGGTGTTTGGTTGTAACAGCGTTTAGTAATTTAAAACAGTTTGATACGAAATGTAACTTGCTTTAAGAAACACGACTGGAGCTAATGTATGCTAACGCTAACAGTTACAAACACGTCTGAAAGTTCCTTTTCCTTTTACACAATGTTAGATTGTAACGTGTGTAGTAACTGAAAACTATTTTAATTATTTTAAAGAAACATGAAACGAATTTGTGTGTATGCTAACTTTGCGTTAAAGAAAGTTTCTGTAGACGAATCCATTAACGCTAACATGGCAAAACGTGTTTTTTTCCTGATTTAACATTATAAAGTACCGTGGATGTTGAAAAAAATCATTGTACAGGCGTATACTTATCCAACAGTATTAATTCTGTGATTATGTGTAATTAAAAACGAATTAATTTATAAAATATTATTGTTTATCTTGTTTATGCAGTTAGTCACGAAAAATGATTGAAACTCGACTGTTTACTATTCTCTTTAAATTATCCAAGAGAAATATATTACTCTGCACTTTAATTCATATGTGTTAGCCTATGTGAATCAATTATATCTTTTGTTCAAGCTGTAATGGTCAGTTAATGTAAAACTGAACGTCTTAAAGCAGATTTTGATGTTTTTTTTATGTTATTGACAGTGATAAATTCTGATTTAAATGAATGGGTAACAATATTTGTTGGTTAAGTCTTATTGTTCTTGTTTAACAAAGGTTAGTGAGATCATTTTGCAGCACATCACGACCAAAGAAGTCAATGGCACGCTCTTTTGAACGTGAATAGGCATGTTATAGTTGTGTGCTAAAAGTCCATTATAAGCTGTAAACTGCTGATATATTTTCAACATAGATTGAGCTTTTCAGAGTTACATTACTAATTGCTTCACAAACAGCTGAAATAGTCTATTGTTATTGGCTATCATCATCAAACATTTTTCACAATGGTAGGTTAATCTTCATGGGTACAGAATAATGCATGTGCTTGACCATCTTACAAATCTATGTCTCAGATTCATAAGGCTGTCACTCTGCATGAATCTCCAAATAAATCTTGTGCAACCTTCTGTGTACTGATTATTTACACTATAGGTATTATATGCATTAATTAACTTTGATAGTATTTTAGGATTTGAACTTTTCTTTACGGGAGGTTAACAACAATGTGATGTTTCATTATAGATGCATATGAGGAAGCTCGACTCAAACATCCAACATCCAACCCAACTGTGATTTCTGACTGGTAGACAGATGAGGATGATGATCGCCTGTCATACATCTAAAGACAGAACAGGTTTGTTTGCAATTATTTTAAACACATACTGTCAACATTATGTCATTGATCTATTACAACCTGTGAGTTTTGACCTGGCACTATACTAAAGTGATGTTTTGTTTTGTAAATGTATCTGATTAAGGGACAATATAGACACATCTATACCGTGATGAAGAAAAATTACTTGGAACAAAGAGGCTGGATAAAAGGCAGGTATGAAGATTTCAGAAATCAATGCAGCACCACAAGTACCATCACCATCAATGACTATGGCAGAAATCTTAAGACCACCATCAAGATGCACAGATACTGTACATTCCAGTACACCAGGCGTGTCCAAACTACGGCCCGCGGTGAGGCTTTTTATAAATATCAATAGAATCTGGCCCGCTATACAAAAATGAACGTAATTCAATAAATAACCACCGGGTGTCGCTATTACATGCATTCAATTAAGCAGCAGTTCTTGTTATGATCTATAAATCTATCTATCTATCTGTCTGTCTGTCTGTCTGTCTGTCTATCTATCTACACACAGTTGAAGTCTGAATTATTAGCCCCTCATTGATTTATTTTTCTTTTTTAAATATTTCCCAAATAATGTTTAACAAAGCAAGAACATTTTTACAGTATGTCTGATAATATTTTTTCTTTTGGAGAAAGACTTATGTTTTATTTCGGCTAGAATAAAAAGCGGTTTAAATTTTTTTATGAACCATTTTAAGGTCAAAATTATTAGCCCCTTAAGTCTTCAGAACAAACCATTGTTATAAAATAACTTGCCTAATTACCTTAACTTGACTAGTTAACTTGATTAACCTAGTTAAGCCTTTAAATGTCACTTTAAGCTGTATAGAAGTGTCTTAAAAATATCTAGTCAAATATTATTTACTGTCATCATGGCAAAGATAAAATAAATCAGTTATTAGAAATGAGTTACTAAAACTAATATGTTTAGAAATGTGTGGAAAAAAATGTTTAACTCTCCGTTAAACAGAAATTGGGGAAAAAATAAACGGTGGCTAGTAATTTAGGGGGGCTAACAATTCTGACTTCAACTGTATTTATATATATATATATATATATATATATATATATATATATATATATATATATATATATACACACACACACACACACACACACACACACACACACACACGTGTCTGTGTGATGTATGTAAAATTTGGCCCGCGACAACGTTTGTTTTTTTTCATCTGGCCCTCGGCCCAAAAAGTTTGGACACTCCTGCAGTACACCTATGAACATTTACAGTCTTTGTTCTAGTGCAGTTTGAGATCAAGACAGAACTTATTGCATCTCGTGATGTCTTTGTAAGAATTGAAGACATCACTAAATTTGTTAAGGTTTAATGCAGCTAGAAAGTAAAGATCAACTAGAGAATATCAGCAGTGTCTAACCCACTGTTGTATTTACAGAAGTTGTATGAGAATAAGCTACAGGTTGATTTATACTAATCTGTTATTTTTCTTTTTTAGCACGACTGACTGAAGTTTTAAAATCATGCAACGTCATAAAGCAGCAGCTGGGCCTGATTCTCACAAAACCAAAACAGACGTGATGAAATTCCAGATGTAAACACATTTGACCTTCCTTTGGCCAATTTGATTTGGAAAAGCTTGAAAATCAACTAAAGGAGCAGCCCGAACAAATGAAGAAACTGGTAAGTTCAAGCTCTTGCTAATTTCAAAGTGTTTTAAGTTTATTTGTTTTTTTTTTATTGTTTTTTTTTTTGCTTCGTAGGCAGCCTACTTTTTTCCTAATTTTTTCTTTTTTTTTTACATTAGTACTTGTTCACTACTAATTATCTGTTTATCTTTTAATCACAGATGGAGTGAGGACAAATGTCCATACCACGCCACTGATAAAGAAGTGGAAAAATGCATTACAAGGTAGCTACAACTTGCCCCTGACAGGGATGGAGGAAGAAAGAAGAGAAAGCTAATGTGTCAAATGTCTACATCACTATTTTGTTTTATTTTTTAAACAACATTTTAAGTGTATTAGGATGTTCCCTGATACTTGAACAATTTGTTTCTTTCATTTGCATTTATATATATATATATATATATATATATATGTATATGTATGTATATATGTATATATATATGTGTGTGTGTGTGTGTGTGTGTGTGTGTGTGTATATATGTATGGTATGGTATGTATGTATGTATGTGTGTGTGTGCGCCAAATTCTGAAGAAACATCTTGATACATTTTTAATAAACGTAATACAAATACAATTGTAAATATAAAATTGCACAAGACGTGTTGAAAGAAAATTGCTGTTTGTGCAATTGATTTTGTTCAAGTTTATTTAAAAATAAGTTTGACTTTATACTTCTGGAATTATATATATATATATATATTTGTTTGTTTATTATTATTTTAATGTTTTATTAAAAAATGTTTCAAGATGTTTCTTCAGAATTCTGCAGTACTTTTTACAAGTTTGACTTGTATATTTTACGGATTGTCATTGGTATTTTTAAGATGTTTCTTGCTATATCTTAAATTGGTTTCTATATTTAGGTTTATATAAAATTTAGCTGTTTTTTACAAATTTTTAATTCAAGTCTATTGGGAAAACAGGGTTGTTTTAAAAACATCTGTGTTTGTGTGTAATTTTTAGATTTTTTGTTTAAATCTTTCTGTGTGTCTTTGTGTTGTTTTATTGTTGTTTTTAAATTTATCATTATGGTGCACTACAAAATTATTTATAAAATTTTAGTACTATTTTTTTCTTGCAATCAATAAACGTTTAACATTTATTTATTTTGTCATTTGTCTGATTTTTTCCGTTACAGAATATGTATGCAGTTTGCACTTTATTCAAAGGTTAAACGCAGTGCTTACACTTTGTGTTTACATTATAGTCTGTGTTTGCTGTTATATAAATTCAAATGGTTGTAATACCATATATCAAGTACCAATGTAATACCAAAAGGTTTTATAAGGTGTATAAATACGGAGTCGCGCCAGCTCCGGGCCGCAGCGCACATTACCCTCGCGCCGATTTCGGCGCGGATGCGCAGCGTCGGCTCGCTTACGGCCGCCGCATCTGGCCCGCTTGATTCGGGCCGGAATCGGGCAGTGAGTCCACAGGCATCCGGCCCGAGTCCGGCAGCCGAAGTTGGGCCGAGGGGTAAGTCTTCGGCAGGCGACAATCTAGCCGGAACTGGCCCGAGTGTATTTTGCTATCTGGGTACACACACCGGCGCCGCAAGTCGGCGGCTGTCGGCGGCGCCCGGCGACGGCTCAGGACGCAGTTCATTTTTCAGCCGCGCCACAGAGCGCCATCTGATTAGTTTCATGTTAAATATCATTCGAATGTGCGCGTCTGGTGTGCGATACTTTAATCTGTCATGTACGCGCCGTGTCGCGGCGCCGAGTGGCGCTTCTGGTGTGCGACCTGCTTTACTGTGCCACCCATGGAAATAACAATAATAATTAAATGTAATTAGTCATCAGAGTGACTTATTGTTACATTTGCCTTTAACCCAAATTACAGAAACTCAATTGACTGCCTATTTTCTCTTGAATTTTCCCTGTGTTAATGTAAGGGTGCTTTCTGGACAGTTTGCAATAAGGTTAGTCTGGTATTCGGTTGTGATTGAAAAGCTAAATTATCATATTGACAAAAACTCTGCAAGCACAGAACTTGGCTCTAGAATTCTGTGGGAATTTAAATAAAAAGGTATGTTTTGTCTTAGATGATAGGATTGTATGTGACTGCACTGAAATTGTTTTGGCCTTCACCATGACCCTGGTTTAAACTGTAAAAGTAACAGAGGCATGTCTGAGAAAAATGTGCAATGTAAGTTTGTGCAAAAGAGTAACTTCAAATTTTATAGTTTTTATTCTAAAAAAAATTCTATAAAGAAAGTCTTATTTGTTTTATTTCAGTAGAATAAAAGCAGTTAAACATCTTAAAAATTGTTTTTTTTTTTTTACAAAATTGATAAACCATCAATATTATTAGCCCCCTTTTTCTATTGACTACAGAACAACCCACTGTTATTCAATGCCTAATTTGCCTAATTACTCTAACTTTAATTAACCTAATTAACCTTTACACTAAAACCTTTAAATGTCACTTTAATCTGAATTCTAGTATCTAGAAAAATATCTCGTAAAATAATATGTACTGTCGTCTTGGCTATTGTCATATTGTTGGCTATTGTCATCTTTACTATTATTTATTGTTAAGAAAATGTGTTGAAAAACATGTTCTCTCCATTAAAGAGAATTGGGGGGGATAAAATAATTTAGAATTATTTGTAAATATTAGTTCTTCTGTTAAATTGAATTAAAAACTTTTTATTGTAGTTGAAATGAAACAAAATAAGACTTTCTCCTGAAGAAAGATTTCCCTAGTGTTTCCCCAGAACCACTGGGGGAAAATTAATTGCTCTGTTAAACATCATTTGAAGAAAAAAAAATTACTGTAGGGTTAATAATTTTGACTTCAACTGTAAATTCATCACTAAAGTTACTCTTTTGCACATACCAACATTGCACATTTTTCGGACATGCCTCTGTTACTTTTATAGCTTAAACCAGAGTCATGGTGAAGGTCAAAACAAGATAAGTGTTTCAGTGTGGTCACATACAATCGTATTTTCTGAGACAAAACACATTTCAATTCTCATAGAATCCTAGTGCCACATTCTGTGCTTGCAGAGTTTTTGTTACTTGACAGTCAATATTTAGATTAAGCTGTTCAATTGCAATCAAATACCAGACTTACTTTTTTAAAAATCAGTTCTGAGAATATTTGAATCCAAGAGATTCATAGCTGCGACATTTACTGCATTTTGCTCTCTCCCATTTCATTATTTCTATGGGGACTGAGCATGATGTTACCTAATTTCATATTCATATCAGAGTTTAAAATCAAAAGCAGCAAGAGCTTTAGGCATTAATCTTAAGAACAACGATGCCTCCTGCTTGATAAATCTCCAAACCAGATCTGTCCAATCCAGTTAGGGTCATATTTTTCACTGCATTGTTCCTGGTGCATCATTAATCAATCAACCTTGTCCTGATATTTCTAGATATATTTATCTGACTTTTGTGGCCACTAATACTTAATAGATACATTTAATAATATTATTTAATTAATTATTTCAATAATAAACTGAACTACTATATTCTAAAAGAGGGCCTGTATTTAGCATTATCTACTTGTGACTGGATTGATGAAAATGAAAAATGCTAAATCTTAATACCTGCAGTAATACCATGTCTCTTTAAAAGTTTGCTAAATCTGATAAATCCTAGTCTTTTTTTCTGCAAACTTATGTTTTTGATGTATTCTGCCTTTTTGTGCAGTTGGAGAATGAGTGCGTCTCAGTCCCTGAAACACCCATGGCTTTCAGACCGAGGGCTTCACTACCGTCTGCATCATAAGGTTCATAATTTGAACTTGTATTTATATTAGTGCAGTAGTAAACGAGTGCACATTATGGTATCTAATCAATGTGTTTCTCTTACAGAAAAACAAGTGTCACTCTTCACATGCACCTCCACCAGAGGGTTAAAAAGGTAAGATATTGGCCTATGTAATATTAAACATGAAACAACTAAACTGTGCTAATAAAAACACAAGGATGTGATGTTCAGTTAAAAGGATAGTTCACTTAAATAAATAAATTAATTAATTAAAAAATCACGCGTTGATTTAAACTTGCATGACTTATTTCTTCTGTAGCTGTGTCTCATTTTAGAGGCTGCATCCTTCAAATGATGCATCATTGCGGTGGATCCTTTGCGGTCTTGAACGCCCCAAGATTCATTGCGCGCTAATAACGGCAGGATGTTTTTAAAAGAAAACTCCAGATTAAATGTATGAATTAGGTTTTATTTTATGTGGATATCTAAACACATGTTAAAAAAACAAGAAAAGTATGGCATGTCTTACAAAAAAAGGATTTTATAGACAGTTTATATTTTTATATGTACATCTATGGATCTACAAATTTATATTTCCAGATTTTATAAACCTTGCTTTGCCTTCATATTGCTTAAAATAAGTTTTAAAATCACTCTTAAAAAAGTCATTACAAATTGTATTACTGCTTATTAACAGCAGCTGTAATAGTTGCTAGTTGACGAGATATGTCCTCTGTAGGCTAGATCGTCTCATTTCAAATTGCTCGTTTCGACTTGTGTGGAGTTCGAAGCTTGTGAGACTCTAGTGAGCATTATTTACAAAAAATTCAATTGAGTAGCTTCCCATTGGCTTCCAAGCCTTTTTTTCTTTTTCTTTTGTTCTCCACAGTAAAAAGGTCATGCATTTTTTTAACAAGATAAGTAATATAATGACAAAATTAATATTTTGGGTAACTATCCATTTTAAAGGTTAATACAGTGACCTGTTTAAAAATATAATATTAATAATATAATATAAATGCCAAAACACAATATTTAAAACTAACTTTTGCATTACTGTATATTATCTTTTTTTTTCTGCAGAATTGATCATTGGCTGATCATCCTGATCCTGTGGTGACAAACTGGACCAATACTGTTGTAATTGAACAACTACACAACATCTGTTTAATACTACAGTCGCATACTGTACTGTACTGAACTGTACCGTACAATATCTATTACCTATTTACCTCAACCTTTAACGAAAACATATATACAACACATCAAAAATACTGCTCATCACTTGTGATACAAACACAAATCACCTTTTTGTAAAATAGTAGCCATTTAGGACTCTATGATGAACCTGTGCTTCAGTCCTGGTTTAGGTTGGTTTTAACAGTCTGTTAGTTGTTGTCTTATGAAGAAAAAAAAGATATACAGTTAATTGGTCCTGGTTTTATCTTGAATGTGCACTTTACAATAGGACTGGATTGGATAAAGAATGTTAAGCCCAAAGTATACTTTTTATGTGTACAATTCTAAAGGCACAGGTATACTTCATTTTCCACATTCTGCTCTGTCTCAAGGACGGTTGTGTCCACTCAGCTTTCAAATGATAATCAGCTCGGAATTAAGATGAAGACCTTTAGCAAATATATTGTAATGTGGACAGTGCACAAAATAGAACAGAATCTTGGAAGGCTGAAGTACAGTTGAAGTCAGAATTGTTAGTTCCCCTGTATTATTAGAGCCCCTGTTTATTTTTTTCCCCAAATTCTGTTTATTGGAGGGAAGATTGTTTCAGCACATTTCTAAGCATAATAGTTTTAAAAACCTATTTCTAATAACTGATTTTTTTTATCTTTGCCATGATGACAGTAAATAATATTTACTTGATATTTTTTAAGACACTTCTATACAGCTTAAAGTGACATATAAAGGCTTAACTTGGTTAATTAGGTTAACTAGGCAGGTTAGGATAATTAGGCAAGTTATTGAATAACAATGGTTTGTTCTGTACACTATCGCAAAAAAAAAAGCTTAAAGAGGCTAATAATTTTGTCTCAAAAATGGCTTTAAAAATGTTTTAAACTGCTTTTATTCTTGCCGAAATAAAACAAATAAGACTTTCTTCAGAAGAAAAAATATTATCAGACATACTGTGAAAATTTCCTTGCTCTGTTAAACATTATTTGGGAAATATTTAAAAAAGGAAAAAAAAAATCAAAAGGGGGCTAATAATTCTGACTTCAACTGTATACTTTTGGCTATATAAACTCCTTTTGATAGCAAATCTTTTACTTTTAATTAGCTTATTAGTGTTAAACATGTATTAATACTTATTTAAAAGACATTAGCCAACATGAGCATCTGTTGTTTTTGGCATCTTCAGTAGTTTGTTGGTTGTTGTTTCATTTTTATTTCTTTTCCAACTTTAAAAGTAATCCAAATACGACTTAAGGGCATACTCACACTAGGTACAGTAGCCTTGAAAGGTGCCAAAGCGTGATTGTCCCCCCTCCCCTCTCCCCCGATGGCCTGCACTCACACTACATTTTGCCTTCTGAGCCGGAGCACGCTTACATCATCAATGATGCAGCTGTTCAGTTTAAAAGAAGAGAAGAGCTTTCGCTCAGCACAGTGGAGATTTTTTTAGTTATATAATTTTGTGTTATTTTAAGTTGTTTGATATGCAGCGACACACTGTCAAATATGTAATACACAGTCAAGACACTCATAAGCAGGCCCAGACTAAATCTGCGCGGACAGAATTTCGCAGATTTTTAGCCCATCATTAATTCTGTTTGTTTACTAAAGTAAATGTCTGTAAATCTATATCTATTCAATTTTTAAATTAATTGCAGTAATATTATTGACTAATATGAAAATGTTCATCTGATTTATGTACAATGCAGTTTATTTTTTGTCTTTTAGTAGATATATTATATGAGAGACATTATTTACCAAAAAAGTGAATCTAATTGGATTGCATTTTAAACATTAAAGAAAAGTTAAAAAAGATATTCTTTTTTATTTTACATATTAAGGTTTTAGTTATGATACTCCCAAAATAATTCAGCAGAAATCCGCAGATTTCTGTCTGGCCCTACTCATAAGTTATCATAAAAGTCCTTGTGCTGCACGTATTAGGAGGTTTGCTGAAGGTGCAGTGAAGGGTTTGCGTCTTTAATAAACTACGATAGATCGTGTTCATTGAAAAGTAAGGTTGATTAATAAATCCATATGAAACAGACCCTTAAAAGTCACGTCGCATTTTCAGTTTCGGGCTCATGCGCGATTTGCACTACAAGCGTACCACGCCCAACCAAACTGATCTCTGGCTCACATCTTCCAGCCAGGGTCGGTCAACTGAACCACACCTGGGCCTGATTCGGAGCACTCACATTTATCAAATGAACTGGGAAACATGCCCTGGCATGGCTCGGATAGCCTAGTGTGAGTGCACCCTAAAACACACGTGTCAACCATAGAGTGAAGTAGAGCATCATTCATTATTCATTTCTTTTTTAAAATTAGTCATTACCCTTCGTTATATTATTGAAACTGTTTATTATAAGCAATATAACTAGCAAAAACGACATCTGTTTTCTTATAAATCTTTGGTATAAAAAGTGATGTGATGTTTCACTCATAGTTATCACAAGCTATTAAATCTAAGTCTACCAAATGTAAGTGTCACTATCACTTGATGGTGAATCTGGTGAATAAACTGTCAATGATCAGAAAATTGATTTTGAAGATGCTGATAATAACATTATTGAGAATATGGCTGATATTTCACATTTTCTCAAAGTGATTCCTTTCAACTTTCGAAAGGTAATAAAATATACTTTATTTATTTATTTATTTATTAATTTAGTATTTAAATACCAGGATTTATCGGTTTTAGTTATATACAGGTGACTAAAAGTGATCCTTATATGAAGTGATTATTGGCAAAAATAATGCATTAAAAGGGATTGTGCCCCCTATTTTTCCTCACCCTCTACTTGAATTAAACCTATTTGAGTTTCTTTCTTTTGTTAAACACAGAAAAAGATTTACTGAAGAATGTTGGAGAAAAACAGCCATTGACTTTGTTCCTACTATGGATGCCCAGACCTGCCTTTTTTCCAGTATTTTTTATAATATATCTGTGTTCAGTAGAAATAAAAAGATAAAAGTTGAGAAATACTTGAGTAAAGGGTGAGGAAATGTTCATTTTTGGTATAACCATCCCTTTGAGGGTTAAAAAAAGTACATTTTGGGCTTTGTGCAATACTGAAATCCTCGATCATACTCTATACGCACAAATTTATCGAGTCTTATATTATTTACATCATTGGTTCATGGTATTATTTCAAATGATAATTGCGAAGACATTACAATTTGGTTTTCAGACAAATTCACACAGGACACTGCTGCATTTCACACTCTAAAGAAAAAAAACTGCATGTGATACAATTTTTGAATGACAAGCCTGTGCTGCTAGAGTTTATTCATGTGCATGTAACTACTGTTATCTGATACAAATAACCCAAATACAGCTCTCACTCCCCACACATTATTCTATGACATCATTTAGAGAGTTTCTTTGGAGGCAAAATTAAGTTCAGGATCCCACGAGCTCCAAATGCTTATCTAATGCCTGTAGTTGCTGATATCAAGGCTCTGTTGTCATTTTTAAGCTTAAACACTGGCTTCAAGCTGTATTAGGCATTGATAGGGTCTTGCTCACTCCCTCACTTCCTAGTAGACATCTCACCTTCCATGAAGGCAAATGTAAAAACAGAACACTACCTTCAAGTATACTGTGTGTTTTTGTGTGGTTCTATAAACATAGAGGATGTTTTTGCTTCGTTCACCCTGTCTGATGTTTACTTGAAATGCTTTGACACTATAGTAAATAGGGTGAAATTTACTGTACGTCTGCTGATAGCTAACAGTGTTTTAGATTAGGATTCTAACTCCGCTTGTGATCAAACATAAGAGAAGGATTTATTTATTTTTATTCCGTTTCTAAATACTCTATTTAATGACTGGATTGTAAGACACTGAAATATAGAGTTTAATTAACGGCTAGAAAAAAAATGAAATTAATTCAGTACTTTAATGTATTAGGTCTTGTACGTTTTCACAAATTACCTCCAGAATTTGAAATCTGTTTTGTTGTTTAGTTGTTTAGAACTCGGTATTGTATAAATTAAAATTTATTTTGAACAAACATTTGATTATTGTGTTTATTCAAGTCATTCTGAAGTCATGTGCTTTACCTTACTCTTTAATTTTGTTTGCTTACGTTTCACACGTCATAGACAAGGCACAATATCCAGTCAACAAACCAGCTTGACTAGTTTGGAAGAAAAGCAAAGAACAGTGAAACTAGCAAAACCAGACTAGTCGAATTGTACTTTCTCAGCAATGACGTAAGATCTCTAGAAAAACATTTGAATCAATATTTATAGTATTGTACACATAATAATGATTAATAGCTGTATTGTGTGTTAAATTTCTCATTTTGATGATTGTTTTTATTATAAATGTTAAATATTTGTAATAATAACAATGTCATTAAAATAGTTTTCATTCATTCATTCATTTTCCTTGGGCTTAGTCCCTTTTTTCATCAGGGGTTGCCACAGCGGAATGAACTGCCAACTTATCCAGCATATCTTTTACACAGCGGATGCCCTTCCAGCCGCAACCAAGTATGAGAAACACCCATACATTCTCACATTCACAAACATACACTACAGCCAATTTAGTTCATTTAAGTCACCTATACTGCATGTCTTTGGATTGTGGGGGAAACCGGAGCACCTGGAGGAAACCCATGCAAACATGGGGAGGACATGCAAACTCCACACAGAAATGCCAACTGGCCCAGCTGAGACTCAAACCAGCGACCTTCTTGCTGTGTGAAGCAATAGTGCTACCCACTGAGCCACCGTGTTGCCCTAAAATAGTTCAGGTTTAAGTAAAAAAATTATGTGAAAACATTTTATATTTAATAATAATATTAATAATAATAATAATACACAAACTTTTAACAACAGTACTAAATGCTATTTAACAGTTATATATAAATTTTATGATAATAATTTATTCAAAATAATTAATTATTATTATAAAATTCAAATATTATTCATGTTTGTTATTTATGTAAAATCTAATAAAACATCTAATAATTAATTATATAAATTTAATTATTAAAATATAAAATTTGTAGGTAATAATTATTATTATATTTTTTATTATTATCATTAATAATTATATTTTAATTATACTTGTTATATATATTTAATTATTCACTTTGTAAATGAAAATTAAGAGAGAGAGAGAGTAAAAAATAGTGTCCAACTCCTCCTGCACATTTAAACCTTAAGCTGGCGCTGTGACGCATCTTCACCATGAGCCAGCATGATTCCTCTCCTCTTCGTTCTGTGGTGTACACGTCACTGGCGCTCTGCTCTGTGATTGGCTGCCGACTGCAGGTTTCTGATGTGTCTCTCCAGCAGCTGGAGTTTCGGATGTGTTTGCATCCGTAGTTGATAAACGAACGCACACAGCGGAACCAAACCACATACACTCGGTCAGAACAGAAACCCGCTCCAGAGAATGGCTCAGTGTACAGCAACGACGACTGGTGGCGGTATGAACGGAGACAGCAAGAGGAAGAGGAAAGTGGCTATCATTACAGGCATAACCGGTCAGGTAACGTGAAGTATTGTCTCAACAATTCCGACACGGTAGCCGAGACGCGTCGATGGTCCAAAAAACAACCATTTAGTCAGTCATACGCTGCTCTGAACCGTTGTGTTTTTGTGCGGAAAACTGAAGGATGTGTGATGCAGAATGACTGATTCGCTCACTGTTTAGTCTCATTAGAGTTTAAAAATATATCTTTAATAGTAACCGAAGCTGTCAGCTCTTAAAATAACGTTAGGGAGACGATGACAGACTTTTGTGGGGTGGTTTTATCTTGCACGTTTCTACGCAGACTGAGTGCAGGACTCTGTTACCTATTTTGGTAGCCATGACAACTATAATTTTAGCTCAAATCCAATATTTAGTGTACATGTAACGTTAGTTATTTCGGTAGCATCTTATTTTACATCCCAGTTTCAAGTGTATACTGACTACCTTATTATGTAATTACTGTGTAATAAATAGGTAGCTACTAACTTATCTAAACCTCCCCTTGAACCTAAACATAATGTAGTTTGCTTCTATAACCCAGGCCAGCATCTTTTAGGTACCTTAACTACACGTTAAACATGCATGCTAGTTAGTTCTGTTAACAATACAAACAATATTTTAGTATGAGCTCTGCTTCAGGTAGTGGCTTGGTAGTATGTGGTTTCATTTCACACGTCATTTCCTGACATTATATGAAAGACAAAATAACTGACAACTGCTCGTGCGTTCCCTCTAGCCTCTTGCACAACATTCCTGTTGTGTAATTTGCTGATTAAAATGAAATCTTTTTTAAGCATCACATCGAATATGATCGTCACTTTCATTAAAATATGTTGATGTGTGGGAGTACTGACCTTTTCACTGTTTTAAAGGGATGGTTCATGTAAAAATGTTAAGTATCCCCTCATCCCTCAAGTAGTTTCAAACCTTTACGAGTTTCTTTCTTCTGTTGAACACTGAAGAAGATATTTTAAAAAATGCTGGTTGCTGGGATCCGTTGACTTTCATAGTTTAGAATAAATACTATAGAAGTCAGACGGTCCCAGTAACCAACATTTTTTTTAAATATCTTCTTTTGTGTTCAACAGAAAAAAGAAACTCAAGTGGGTTTTGAAGAAGAAGTGAAAGTCGAGTAAATGATTAGAAAATGACAGAATTTATTATTATTATTATTATTATTATTATTATTATATTTTGGGTAAACTGTGGGTGAATCCCTAAAACTGACTTGATACTCCTAGACATGTGTATATGGTGAACTAATGAAATTATATTCTTTGTACAATAGACATAATTTGATTTGCATACTTATTTGTTTGTATTCTAAAAGTTCCTAAGTAAACATGCATTTCAGATTTTCAAATAATGCACTTTTTAAACCTGAATAATATAAATTGATGAAAAATAATTTTCTAAAAATGCACAGTGCTCAGAATGCTTAGAATAAGGATATAGATTTGATTGATCAATATTTATTAACTTGCATGAACAATTTAATAACCTTTTAGAATGACCACTAAATAAATATTCACTAAGCTAATGGGTTTCACTTTAAGTTAGCATGAAACAGCAGTTGCGATGGTCTTTTTTCCCCCTATTATTATGTATATTTAGCACAGTCGCACTGCAGTTTGTATGTATTTTATGATAATGATTATTTTGTAGAAACTCCTTTTTGTAGGTTTTGGTTTGAAGTACTCACACCAGAAGTGATTGTTTAGAGGCAAACCTTTATTAAAAAAAAAAAAAAAAAAACTTCCACTTTCTCATGTATTTCTTCTAATTTATTAACATCATGAGAGCAGAACAAACAGTAATTTGCATGAGAAAGATTAATAGTGGATTACATTTACCCATTCACTTCTCGATGTACAAAATAAGGCCCAGACCTACACTTTTTTTGTTTGAGAAACATTACACCTTGATACACCAAACCAATTTCTCAGGAAAATAAAACTGTTTTGCATTTTTACAAATTTGTAGATGAATTTGTATAGATTTGTATAATCTCACTTATACAAAATGTAAGGCTTTTAGAAAGAAGTTCTGCTCCAACCCTAACCCCTAAACCTAACCCCTGAATTGTGAACAGATCACACCAATATGATTCAAGTATAATTTCCACAAACAAAAGCGGTAATTATTTATACTTCTCCATTGAGATTGTGTTGGTATATCCTTGTGAAATGGCATTTCAAACAAGAAAGAATAATGTAGGACTTCAGGGTGTTGGCAAGGTCTTAAAGTTGAATGTTTTAAAATTTAAAAACTAAATTTTAGGCCCTAAAAAGTCCTAAATACACTGAAATGTAGTGTTGTAGGTCTTAAATCATTTTAAAAATGTCTTAAAATTTCCTGTCCAAGTAAAGCTACCAAATTCACTGTTACCCAATCACCAATAATCCACCAGAAAACCTTTTTTTTTTTAAATATAATTTGGTTGTTATTGCAAAGAGATACAATTCACAACATTTGTCAGGCATTTTTATAGCAAGTTCTCCTAATTAAATTCCCAAATCAGGAAAAGAAAACTAAAGCATCGCATCCCTTACTTGATCTTCCATTAATACAAAAACTGTTTACAGAAGTAACCGGAATATTAGAAAAAAAGTATTAGTTTTAGTAAAAAAATAGGGGAAAAATCATTCATATTGATCTTAAATTTGATTTGAAAGACCTGCAGAAACACTGGACTTGACTTTGTATGGCTAGGCTGTAAAAATAAAAGTGTTTTCTGTTTATTTACGACTGTGAACTGCATTATGGGACCTTGATCTTTGCTCTGTCAATTTGTGATGTTGAAAATTCAACTCTGCAGTTTAATAAAGGGCATTTTATTGACATTTTAGTAGTTTGAAATCATATAATCATAAAAAATAGTATATCAAGAAATTAGTCTGTAAAATAGCAAAAAAAAAAGTACTGGCAGTTTATTACAAAGTTTTTGTAGTGTAATAAATAACACCACCCCAGACAGTATACCACTTTAAACTATTAAGAATGTCTCTTTTTTTTTTACTTTTCAAGGTTAAATATTGGTGGATGAAAGATTAAGATCCCAAAAAGCAATTTAAAAGCTTAAATAATTGGGGAAAATTATAAAAAAAAAACATGATTCACAAAATATGGAAAGCCGCAAATTAGAATAGATTTGATCATTGTGGCTTGGTGGTCTTATATGAGTTACAGTTTGTCCCCGCATGCTGATAAATAAACCATCAGAAAAGAGACGAGTTGCTTTTTTCACAAAGAGATAACAAAATACACCCAGTTGTGTGTGTAATGCACTGCAGGCCTGGTGGTGTTATACTAGAATGACAGCGGGTTTGGTTTGACACGTTGCCTAAGGTTGGTAACATTTGCCATGTAGAGAAAAGAGAGTCTTACGTGAGCCCTTAATTGTTGTCTCTCTCCCCACCCATTCCCTTTCACAATGAACCACAGTGAACTTTGTAATAGGAGAATTATGACACAAATTTAATTCCCAAATCTTCACAATTCTCTAAGCAGGTAGCAAGAAATGGTTTTGCGTAATGCTGCTGGCTAAGAATAGATTTCAAATAGAAACACTTTTTGATTTTAATCATGTGCAGAAGTCTTGTTTAGCCAAGATTACAATCATGGGTGTACGTTGAAAATGGTAGACTATGATAATGAGTATTCAGGTTTTTAGGTGTAACTTGGTATGTTTGAATAACGAGCTTGTCCAGTTCTATCCAGTTTGTTCTCAATAGACTTTCTGGACCTTATAAGAACATCATTAAAATTGTGTTTTCTTTTATGGGGGTGTAATGCTACACACATTTGTCGCAAACATTTTCCGGCCGGGTTACATAAATCTCTTACAGTAATTGGATTTGGGGTATTCCTGACCGGGGAAAAAATCCCTGAGGGTTTCAATAAGAGTGTTGCAACAATCATCTTATCCCTCAAACTTACCTACAGTAAGTGCCTATACTTAGCATTTCCTTGTAGTTTGTGGTAATGATAAATGGAACAGAACAAACCACAAAACCAACATTTGCCATAACCACAGTTAATATACAGTAGTTAACAGTTGAATTAGATCAAAAAATGTTGCTCAAAATTGTCCTAAAACAAAGTGCTGTTTCCGCTTTACAGCATCTTCAACAAAGGTCATGGAGGCAGACAGAATCTGTGGACAATGTTTGTTATTTCTACGCTGAAGTTTGTAAATTTATACAGATGATTTTGAGAGGCTCTACTACCTTCCTAAAACCTTAAAACGTAATAAAAATAATAACGTTTTAAGATTTATTTAAGGTTTACAATGCAAATCCAATTAGATTCTCGTTTGGTAAACAAAGCAAGTCTCTCATATAATAAATCTACTGAAACAGAACATTTCACAAACTGTATTATAAATAAATATTAAGATTTGCATATCAAATCAATATTAGTTATCAATAATATTAATCAATAAACAATAAATAACTAAACAATAATCAATATAATTAATCAAAAATATTACAAAAATTGTAGAAAGCTATAAGAGCTGAATTAGCTAACGCATGTGTGTCTGATTGGGGTTGGAACTAATTTGGAACTATTTGCAGGACACTGGCCCTCCAGGACCAAGTTTGGGCACCCTTGCTTTAGATAAATATGCCTTTTTTTCAAGATTGCTATAACCCATCAATCACACATTTAAACAAATTGTATTGCATTTGCTTTAGAAAAATTTAATAATTGCTTTAATGGAATTTTATAATATCTGAGTTGACTGAGGGAGCTGTCTTGGTCACTTCAATTTATTAAGGTGAAATGTTGAAAGAATGCTTAAAGAGTTAGTTCTCACAAAAATTAAAATTATATTATTAATTACTCAACCTCATGTCATTTTAAACCTCTTCGTTTATCTTTGGAGTACAAGTTAGGTTAAACCCAAGAGCTCTCTAATTAAATAGCAACAGCACTCTTTCAAAGTCCTTAAAGGTACCAAACCTGTCACAACAGATAATATGCTTTCAATCAGAATATTATGAAGCTAAGTG